TTTGTCTGGATCCTCTTACTGTGCAGCAGAATACTAACTTCTTTACAGGAATATTATAGTTCAAACATTATTCATTAACAGTTAGTTATTATAAACTCCACTATACTTTCACAAGACTGATTTACACCTGTATTTGTTCATTTTTATGGAAGCCAGCTCTGTTACACACAAAGCATTGAATTGTGTGTTCTAATGCACACTGGCTCTCTAAGTTCAGAACATACAATTACTTGCTTTCACTCACACAGGGCAGCAAAGCCCAAAAGTAGGAGATACGATCTGGTTGTCAATATACTTGTTCCGCTCAGCTGTATGTTCATTCCAAAGCCCATACCTGTGTGCCAGTGGACAGGGCATAGCATGCCCACTGTAGCATTTACCTTCAGTGCAAGACAGACATCCATTTTGAGGAAGGGCAGATGATTAAGCCTGTTTTTTTTTTGTTGTGTGTGTACTTGCCGGTGTTTTAGATGAAACTGAAGTAGCTTGAAGTCACAGTATGCCTCAGTGTTCTGATCTCTGGCACCCACAGCATTCATCTCCTTGTTCTTCTTGCTTCTGGTAAACATTATCAAAGCAGTGCAGATGTGCCAGGAGCCAGGCAAAGAAGTACAAAAGAACTTATTACTGTGTTGAAGCCGTGTAGAAACAATCTGGTCTGAGGCTCCTTTCATCTGTTTATCAGCTGGGTGCTGCTCCATTGAGAGACTGAGATGCTATCAGCCCCACAGGACAGTTGTTTATTTACTTGTTTAACTTAATCATCTTGGCTGAATGACATTATAACTGACAATGATCAAATGTACCCACCCAAGTTGAGGCTGTGTGCTCACATGTGTGGCCACATATCAGTGAGTGTGGATCAGTGTGCACATCTATCTGAGCACCAAGATGCCCTTGATACTTACAGCTCACCTTATCAAAGGACGCCGATTGCTCCCAGCATATCAGAACAGATACGTGTGCACACAAGCATTCATAATTTTTTCATTATGCATAGTTTGTGTCCTCCATCTCCTGTTTGCCTTATTATTTAAAAGAATGTGTTTATACATGTGGGACTCACACAAACACATGCTGTATATACACACGCTAATCCCTTTAAAATGCACATACATTTTCAGTCTAGCAGAGGAATACATACTCATGTCATGCATGTGAAACAAGCAAACCAATATACTGTCACACACATGCTGTCATATTGTTACACTGAAGGGGACTGGGCTGCCCTGAGAGCTCGCTAGCAGTGAAAGGATTGGTCTTTTCTCTGCACCACAATAAACCCATTGGTCAGGCCTCCACTCTGTGTGTTTCTGCTTCTTCTCTGTGTTTGATTCTCTTTGACAAAAGACAGTTTATATTGTGTTAAGTATTTGTGGATATACTGTCATTGTTCCAAGCCAAATATTGATTGCTTTCTGCTTTGGTGTATTTGACATAGACCACCACCTTTAAATGACTTCTTCTCTGGCTTTTCTCTGATGAATTTCATGTCTTATTTGCTCCTTGATTATAACATTGTCCAGACATTTTATTACAAGTTTCTTTTTATTCTCCCAGTGGGAGACAGAAAGAAGTATTCGTTTGGGGTTTCATCTCCAATAGCAAGGGTCACTATATTAGCAGCTGTTCCTGCAGCTGTAACATGCCTTTGACATCCCAGAAGAGCTCAGTGTGTTAACTTTATTGTAAACTTACAATAGAGGATGTGAATGTGTCATGTTCAGTAAATGACTTGAGAGATACTGACAAAAAGTTACATCCCAGTGCAGCATACTTCAAAGTATAACTGCAGTTTGTTACTACTTGGATCTATTTTTTTGTAGCTTTAACATTGTACTCACAGTACCACGTTTATTGATTACAAGGCAACATTACCACAAAGAAGTCAGAGAAACACAAGTGGTCAGACAATAAGGATTAATAAAGTTACAGATTATATGTTTGTCTGATTACAACTTGCCTAGTTGTCTTTCCTCTCATGTTTCTCACCTAATAGAAATCTTAGCAATGTCTCAGCAATTCCTGGGGACAATGAGTCCATAGTCTATGAATACAAGACTGAAGTTTTAATAAACTAGTTTTCCTTTAATGTAAAGTACAGTGTACTATACAATTTCTGATGTCATTTCTATAAGTGATACAAATGCGTGTTGTTGCAGCATATACGTGTCTTATTGTCTTTTGTCTGTAAAGCACTTTGAATTGCACTAGCTTGCATGAAAGTTGCTGTATAAATAAAGTCTGATTTGATTGAGTTTGATATGAGATGTGCTAAAGATGGCAACTCCTTTTTAGGAGCGGTGACAGTTGTCTCAGTACATGAGGCCCAGAGGAGCGTGGTTTAGCTGACTGACATGGTTAGGCAGACTGTAAGAGAGTCATAACACTGAGTCAACATTGTTGATGTTCACAGAAGCATAGCTTAGGCTGAATAGCTTCTCTGTTGATGCTACTTTAGGTAATAGCTGTCCAGTAAGTATGACCGACCATCAGTCAGTAGTCATGTGGTTAGTAACGACCTTGTACTGAATCACACTGTGTAGGATTTCTCTAGGGAAAACGGTTTAATTTTGATGTGTAGGAGAATGTATACAGACATGCTTATTTGAACTTGTGTGCCAAGGCATGGTCTGAACTTAGTGCTCAGTTTCACTCCAGTGCTGCTCTGTGGTTTTTGCACAGTTGATGCAATACGCACTTGCAAAACTGAGAAATACATCGAGTGCAAATGTAATCTAAATAAACTGTTCACCTCACATTTTAGAGTGTCTCCATATTGCCCTGACAGTTAACCAAGGCATGACATTTAACTTGAAATGGCCATCTTTGAAATGAGGAACTAATGGAAAACTTCAAAAAGACTAAAACTCATGCTTGTCAGTTTTAGTAATTCAAGTCCTAAAGCCTTGCTTGAAATGAGGAGCTTGGAACTAGGTATAAAAATAAATGCTGTACTTACAGTATAATGGAATTACTTTGAGTTTATACAGTATAATGTTCAGGAAAAATAAAGACAAGCAATGACTCAAGAGAGTCAGCCTCATATTCAGTATGCTAACAATGCGCAAACTCATGACTCATGACTGCAAATTCATTTCTTCCATTTTTTCTTTTTCCCACACAAAATAGCACATGAGGAGTTTAAAGTTGCAGCAACCCTGCCCATATATGTAACATAAAGTCCACTTTAAAAAAGTAATATAATATGATGATAATATAATATGTAATATCCCCAGTTGAAATGTCTGTTCTGATTATTTTCTGCTGGACCATGTGTTCTGCTCATGTAGCTTTACATCATGCCTCCAATGGTTCTAATAAAATCTGGATTATCTCCAAATTTACCTCTGTTTTTTTTTTTTTTAAATCCTTCCACCCTGTTTTATTCCAGGTGCTGAGAAAGATATCAGGCTACATCCAGGAGCAGAATGAGAAGATCTACGCTCCTAGAGGACTGCTACTCACAGACCCCATAGAGAGAGGGATGAGGGTTGTATCCTTCACTGTTCTCTCTGTCCAAGTATGTACCATAGTTTGAGGATAAAAACCCAGACTGGGCAGTCAGACATGTAAGACCAATGGTAGGAGGTGGAGGTCGCAGTACTTTAGAGGCTAGAGGCCAAGCGTCATGATTGGAGGTCGCTAGTTAGAATCACAACAACTCTAGAAACATGTACCCCCTTCCCCTCAAAACTACAGTCAAGGTGCCTTTGAACAAAGCATGTAAAATCCAGCTGCTGCAGAGCAGGTGTTGAGTAGCAAACTATTACTTCTAGGCATAAATTTAAAACAGAACAGGGTGGGAAAAGCATGCATGCTCTGTTAGATGTCCTTTCATTAGAAACGGTGGGAAAAAACAGGATGATGCAGTGAATCTGTAGCCTGAGGTTTGTATGGGCTTGTTGATAGTGGAGTTATTTTTTTCCACACCAACTGTTCTTGTTTCTCATGCTTCATACAGTATGGGTCATCGAATGTTCTTTTATGGTTGAGTTAGTATTCACAAGCAGCCAGAAGCATGTCTGTCAGATCACAGTTCCTCATGTAGTTGAAAGGCAGAAGGAGAGAATGCATCAAGTAGACCATCACAAGGATCCCACATTCCCAGACTGCTGAAAGAACAGGCTCCCGGTCACAGGGCCAGTTCATTACTTAACACTGTTTGCCAGTACACTTCTACACAGTATCTTTTCTGTTTGTGAAGGCTAGTTGGAGGCCTCATTCTCCAAAGAGCAGTAGCATGTCTCACTTTTATCACTTTTTTGTGTGTTTGCATGATATCTTATCCTGAGCCTCCATAGTAATGTTATTGTTGCATTGGAACCGGTCTTGTTGCCCATCATATCAAGGCTCATCAGGCAAGGGCCGATCCTTGGGTGCAGCTAAAGCCTAGTGCAGACAAAATGATATTCACCTGCCCCAGACAAGTTTTGGATCTGAGTCAAAAACCCTCAAATGAGCAAAAATGCACATTAGGTTTGAAGAGTATGGAGGCATATCGTCTCTTAACTTTGTCAACATGTCTGATTTGATCATAACTAAAAACAAAATGAGATTATATTAAGACATGAGTCCGAGATGGGAGATAAAGCAGTATATGATGAGAATGCAAGATGAAACTGGGGATGGGAAAGGATGAAAGCAGCAGATGTACATTCACACCAGTCACTGACCTCTTCAAGTATAAAAATCTCACCAGTTCTCTTCATGTGAGATCAGATGTATAGGTTTTGCAACCTCCACCTCAATATGACGACACACTGGAATTAAAATGTAGTGTGAGCAGTACAAAAACTTGTAGATGTTGTAGTCTGCTCTAGCAACTCTCTCTGCCATCATGATCCTTGACATTCTTTGTGTCCTCAGCTAGAGATCAGTATCTTTGAAGACCAAGGATCAGGCACCTCCAGTCCCAGCAGCAGCAGCATGTCATCAACAGGCAGTGCCCGGTGACTGGAGGGGCAGCGCCAGGCTTATGGGTACCACCACAGGGGCAGCGGGACACTTACCAACATCCGCATGCTGAAACATGAGAGCACCAGGTTCTAAGACAAGTGGAGGGAAAAAGGCAAGGAGGTGATCCACACCATCCACACTCTCTCTGCTGGGGCTTACAAAGCACAACCTTGAGAACAGGAGCTGGCAAACACACTGGATATGCAACAGAATAAACACACATGTGACAGAACCCACACGTAGTCAGTAGACATATGTACAAGCCAGCATCCAAAGTGTCTGAGGGAATATTCTTCACTCTCCAACAGCTATCCAAACCAAAATAACCATGACTTTCACGTGTTCCAATTTTTCCTTTCACATTTTCTTTCATTCCATCACGTCTGTTTCCATGAGTCACACCATCTTTGTGGTACATCTGATTCAGCAGCCTTATCCTTTATTAAAATGGATATTAATGCTTGATTGTTGTTTGGGGGTGGGGGGTTACTGTCACTATGTCTATCTGCTGTGATGCATTGGCAGTGTAGTCTTTGGTCGGTGCAGCAGCTCTGAAATCTGAAAGGAGAAAAACCAGTAGTCTCCTGGGAGACCCGGGGTTCCTCTGCCTCACTGAATGATTGCATCCATTTCAGGTGGCTGGGGTCAAGCCTCTTTGAATGCTGGCAAATTGGTTGTGTTGTGGGACCACTTGGTTCTATGCTTCATTCACATGCATTTGGCCTCAATATCAAACAGCTAACAGAGCACCTTGGATTATTTATACTTCTCATTCACAGCAGTGAATACTGGTGATCCACATCACAGCTGTAGGTCACACTCCTACGCCCGCTGGTTCCCCCCCACACACACACACATACATGAATACAAATGCTCACTGTTATGCCCATGTACTCATACAGACACATAGTAGTAAGGGGACAAGCATGCACATACACACAGACACACCTGTGGATAATGGCCATGTGTTCCTGCACACACACATGCACAGATTCTGGCAGATGTAGCGTTTGAGTCGACCTAACCAGACAATATTCTGTGGTCTCAGTTCATTGGAAATGTAAGCAAACCCAGGCCGTGTAAGGCCCTACTAAGTTTCCTAGTAGTGTACATGTATCTGGTTGTTATGAGTGTGTATGTGTCTGTGCCTTGCCTAGAGTGGGATGCAAGCTCAGAAAGGATTGGTGCAATAAATGAGAAGCAAACACACACTGACACATTCAGAGAAACCTGAAAAAGTGTGGGTTGTTATCTCTACAGCTGTGTTAATGGGTGTTAATGGTAAGTGTGTGTTTGTACAGTATGTGAGTGTATGTACTATATGGGTAGGAGAATGAACTGACACAGAGCTCAGTATTTGAACCTTTATTAGTCTCTTTTTATGACTCATGTAGATGCTGTTTTTTTTTTTGATTATACAAATGAAAAATCAAAACAAACGAACATGCAAACAAGGTGAAGATTTCAGATTAAACATTTAATCAATGTCTTGTTTATTAGTGTCATCTGGCAATTTCACAGTTTTGTATTACCAGAGAATAGGGGATCAGTAGATTGTCACTTTGTCAGTGAAACACATTTGTAGCCCTCTAGGGTCAGATTAAGGAAGTTCTAAACTTCTGAATGAAGAATCACCAAAAAGATTGAGTGTAAAGACCAAGTAGGTATGATTCAAACCATCTGTATCCACATTACTTATTCACTCTAGTGTGCTCTGCCACTGTTGTGCCTATCTTCACTACACGCAAGATAGTGCAGTCTGAGGGGCATAAATTCTGTCTCCCTTTGAGAGAAATGGCTCATCTTGACTGTATAATGTGTATATGTGTGTGCGGAGGCTGGAAAGACAAAAGATGATCAGTATGTAGCTGAAATGTCGATGCCAGTAGACAGAATACCCACACATCTAACAAGAGACAAGACTTTATGAAGAAACGGAAGGTTTCAGTGTCTGCATAACGTATTTCTGTTGGCACATGTTTGTCTTTTCTTTCATTTAACTCTTTCAATTTTGTTTTCTTTAAACTCACCTCATAAAACAAGCTTTTAATTAACTCTGGGAGCATTGTCCTTAGCCTCTTCTTTAGTCACATAGCTAGCTACAAGTATAACCCCCATCTGAGCTGCTTCTTTGTGACCAGCCCCACTATTATTAGAGCAAGCTGAAGTTAAAGTACTCACTGGAAAGTCACTGTAGAAGTGATGATGTTTTTCCTCATTCTAGTAGAGATTTCAGCTCAACATGTTACTACCTGGATGAATGAGCTGAACCTACACTGATGTTTTACAACAGCAGCAGAGTTCAGTTGTGCTTGTGCTCACCCTCCTGTGCTTTCCGATGCCTTCATGTTTCACCACAGTGGAATGGATACCCAACCTGGGGCTGATGGACTGAACAATTTAGAAATGACTCAACACTGCCAGTTCTCAGTACTAAAGGAGCTCATTGGACAATGTACAGTACAGTATAAAGAAAAAACAGCGTGTGTATATGAACTGTATAGGAGAAGAACTGTACTGTTCATGCTTATCAGCGTTCACCCTCACTGGCTTTTATGAAGAGTAAAGAAGTGGCTAGAAATGCCATAATGGTATTTAATTCCAAACATTACTGTTGCACAGTACTAGTCTGCTAAAAACATTTTTTTATGTTTTGATATCCTGTTTAAATTGGGCATCAATGACAGAGCAGCTATAAAAGCTTATCGTCTGTACAGCTGTGAGGCTGCTGTGTAATGTCTTCTGTAGATGAAGATAATGTATTGCTGTGTCCAAAATAATGTTTAATGTGTTGCTAATGTTGCCTATAGAATTGTTAGTCATAATAACAAAGTCAGTTATTAGTGTGCAGGTAAACAGAGGGGTGATGGTGTTCTCAGGGGAAAGTCTATGTACAGTAATGTGCCAAAGTTCTTAAAGGATAGGTTTACATTTTGGCTTGGCTGATGCATCACTTTCCACACTGAAATTTCTCTATATAACAAGATAGACAGAATAGACATGTACAGTAATTTGATTCAGAAATTCAGAATGAATTGTAATGACTTTGGTGAGCCTCTGACTTTCAATTTTGTGCCATCGGGTAAAATTGTCAAAAACACTGCCTTCAAACTCTTTAAGTGGCTCTTTAATGGAACATATGGGCATACGAGTAGTGTATTAAGGTAGCCCTCAAAAATGTGAACCTATCTTTTTATGGTGAAGAAGAAATGTGTGCCATATAATGAAGCATTATGTTGCTTGTTCTTTTGGGAATGACCTCTTTCATTACTGAAGACAACTAAGGGTGTGAAGACTATGATATGGTATTTAATGTATTCTTGTAAATTGAGATGTACTGTATGTCGTCACAGAGCAGATTAACTTTTGGGTCCTTAAACCTCTATTTGTGCCACAACATGTCTTTGGAAGAGCAGCTGAGATATAAATCCTGTGCTGACAAGGTGCTGTATAGTCCATTTCAGTATGTACATTCTCACATTATTTCTGTACTGTATCTGAGAGTGCTGCAGCTCCATTCAGACACATGGACCTATCAGTAAGCCCAGACAACGTATGTATCTCATGTTGTTTCAAGTGAAAGATTTTTTTTATAGTGCAGTATGATGTCTTTTTAAAAATATAAAAGATGATGTGTAGAGTCTCAGTGCCAGCCTCTTTGGGTTGCTTTGAGTACAGAGTTTTGCCTCGGGGACGGTAAACCTGCATTAATCAGTGTAAACAAAGTGAGTACCGGATGACAAAAAGTAAAATCCTTGATCAACAATGTTCCTCGGCTGTTCTCTTGAGAGAGGAATTGGTATCTTATTTTTTTATTATGTTTATGTGTTTACATATCCATTGAAATGAATGTTTGTTTTCTTAAAGCTGATTATTATTCAAAGCCTGGGGAAAAGACATACCTCTCAGGATGTCCACAGAAGGAAACTGGACTGAAGCCAAATCATGTCACCTAAGGTCAGAATCTCCAGGTTAAAGAAAGGTACATTCCTGGGCCATGAACCATGTTCACTTTAGACTTTGGCTTTTCAAGGTTCAAGTTGATTTATAGTGCACTGATCACAAGATGTCTCAATACATTACAAAATAAAGAAACACAAATAAACTACATATACTGTATGTCAAAGAAAAAAAAAACATTTTAAGTTTAGCTTTAACCATCATAATAGAAGATGCCTGCTTAATATCAATAGGCAGATGATTCCAAAGGAAAATAGCAAGATAAGAGAAGATCCTACCACCAACTGTTTTTAATTGATTTTTCGTACCACTAATAAGCTCACAATCTGCGAGTGAAGAATATAGGAAGGTGTACAGTAGAAGGGACACTAAGAAAAGAAAGATAGCCAGGAGCCAATCCCATTAAAATTTTATAGGTTAAAATAAGCACTTTGAAATCAGATCTAACATGAATAGAGAGCCAATGAAGGGAAACCAGCATAGAGGTAATGTCACAGTTGCACACACACACAAAGGACTGGAGCCCTACAATTGTACTAAACTTCTTTCTCATCTACTGGCGTGGACCAGTAAGCAGACAACAGGTAGATGCAACTTAACTTTTCTTTTGCTTCTTCACAGGTGCAGGCATGGACAGGTAAGCGGCCTGAAAGGCTCTGTGACAGGAAGACACGGAGAGTGTGGCGACAGACAACACCAGGTCGATGTGTGGCTGGTAATGATGCTGATAGAAAGCACCTAGGTCACTTCAGCCACCACAGATTGCAACAACAGACCTACACCACCGCCGAGGGGACACTAACCTCACATTCAAAAACAGCAAAGAGGGACGGTTGGTAGTCATCGACTATCTGGAACGGGCTGGCACTTATATTCTCTCTCATCCTTGAATATTACAGGAGTCTATGCAGGGATGCAAAGTGAAAAAGTACAAAAAAATTAGTGTTAAGTCATTTAAACTCGGTAAATCTTAAGATTTTACTGTTAAGAAAGTGAAGACAATCTGCCTGTGAGATAAACAATTAGCCAATATAGCAGCAGAATAAGGAGGGAACACAGCGTAACACTGACATATTTTGAACTTTTACGATATTGTGGCAGAGCTGGTAGCAAATATATGCTCATTTACATCAAACTAACATTAACATTCCACTGGAGTCTTGTTTCAGGCCACCTGACAAATTTAAGTTAAAAAATCATTTAACATCCATTTAGGGGAAGTCCATTACTGACTTCTCTGAGCATTTTTGGAACAGTTACAGCCCAGACTGCTTTTTGTATCAGTTTATATGTGTGTGCATATGTATATAAGAGGTGCGCAGTACATCCGTCATAGCCTGCTCATAAGGCCACAAATTTGCAATAACTTTCTGGCACATACTGAGGCTTAGTTCAGATAAAAAAGAGTGGGGACAGAGGAGGAGCGGGGAGAGCACGCTGATATTATAAGAGAGCAGAGAAGTGAACGAACATCTGAACACCTGCAGAGAAAGGTCGCTCTCATTCTAACAAGCTACCTTTCATTACTTTCTGTTGCAGGTTGTTGCTACAGTGGTTTTGAATTTCCAAGATCCCTCATTCTTTTGGCTGCACAACACCTTCTGATTTGCTTCCTCCGCATACATCCTGTTCTTTCACTCCTTATTCTCTAAACAGGAAAAATGCTTTACCTTTTCCACAGTTTCTGGCCAAGTCATGGATGTCTGGAAGGGGGGAAAAGTGACTTTCTGGTATTTATTGGTTAAAATGTTTATTCCTAAAATCAATATCTGACTGCCTCTGAGTTCCAAAAAATATTGTGATTGGCAGCAGTGCTTGGCAAACACTGTGCAATCATTATAATGAAGTTTGCAATTGTGTGCTTGCATGTAATGTATCAAACACAAGAGCCCCTCATGAGAAGCTTTTGGCATAAGAGGAGAATATTCACTCCTGCAATCTCTGACACTCATCTGTGACTGGTGTCACACATTTCAGTTCCCTCAACAAAACTTAACAAAACAACAGGAATTCAGCCAAATAATTAGTTAACTCTGACAGTTCACCCCAGCATCTCATACGGCAACGGAACTCTGGCTGTTCTCACTCAGGCCCACCAAACATTTATCCACATTTATACCCAAGCTCATGGTGAGTTATGATTGCTCATTAACAGAAAGATTCAGTGCTGCTGCTCCCTTCAAGACACAGAGATTCTGTTCACAAAACCCCACACACAGATCCTTTTGGCTAATGTAGCTGATTGTGAACATTTATTTTGAAAATCTGCCTTGAAGACCTCAGTTCTGAGATGCTCTTTGCAGACAGAAAGAGGTAAAACATGGTGGAAACTTGAGGATTTATTCCTGTCTCTGTTTTGGCCACACTTGATTTTTTTTTTGTGTGCTTAGCCCAATTTTTGGAGACTTTCCTTTAAATCAATTTCCCCCACTATACCACTGCCTTGCCTGTTGGCTTTGGCATGAATAACTGCTCAGTTTATTTAACCTCAGTGTGATTGACAGCCCATGTGTTGTGTTTGCTGCTGGAACCTCCCCAAGTGCAGCCCAGAATGCTACGTAAAAACATAATGTTAAGCATCCGCTGTCTGAAGGTGGAAACGTGTGGTTCCATTTAACATGTCACTTCTGATCACCTTGGTTAATTGTGAGGCAGAGGTTATTGTGTTTCATTCTGCTTAAATCCACCGGTAAAGGCAAGTACATGGTGCTGTGTTGGACACAGCTCTTTTAAATGCTTTTAAATGAAGAAGGGATGATGTCCTGCAGAGGTGAAACTGGGATAAAGGCTGACAGTGGAAGAGCTTTGAAACATTATCTTAATTTTCTGCAGAAATTCAGACAGATTTCATCTGCCTCTACAGTATGTGTAAGGTATGTGTATTCAGTATTACACAAATCATGAAGCTTATACTCTAATGCCCTTTTGGCTACAGGACGATTTGGAATTTCTTTCAACTATTTGAGGCCCATTGCGTATTGGGAAATGCTCCAGCCTCTCGAGACCCTGTAGATATGAAAAGGAACATGATTGACAATGATTATGTTCTTACTTTTTGTTGCCTTTAGTTAACTCATGCTCAAGTGGACATTGATGTAGCTTATTCGCTAATGTACTTTCAGTGTTCAGGCATGGTGAAATTAGTCAAGTAAATTGGAATCTGGAATGGAGTTCTGTTCAGGCAATTATAAGCAGAGATGATGAAGCATTAAGTTTATCTCAGACTGTAACAAACTCCAGTGCACTCATACTGGAATCGGGCCTGACCCGGGGACACAGAAGACTAGAGTTTACACACACTGCTGCTCCACTTACAGTGTGAGGCCATGAAAATCTAGCTTGGATGTTTGCATCAGGGGCAAGAGAAAATAAACATACATACAGTATTCTCTGGCTGCTGCTAAACAGAAATGACCTCTACAGCCATATTTATTCAGCTTTTTCTTCTCGTCTCATTTTTTCTAGTCTGTCCTTCCATATCTGAATTTCTGTCATTTTCTGAGTGAACTCTGTGGGACATTTTGTGATTGGTGGTCAGAAGCGCTTCCATCAGGAGCACAAGCCCACACATAAAACAGGCTCCTTGCCACACACACACACACACACAGACACACTCACTTTAGACCGGGACAATTCCATTTTGTAGTTCATTTCAGCAGTGAGAAACACAGCTGGACCCTCTGGGATATAAACAGTGCCACTGCAGTGACCACGCCAGACACACACACCACACAGTCATGTCTTTCTGTAGTTGTGAGGACAGTAATTGACATAATGTTCGTTGTGAGGACTGTCCTCACAACGAACATCAAACAAAAATTTGTTCACACACACACACACACACGTTTCCAGAGTTATCTCTATAAGGACACTCACTGACATAATTCATGGCCTAGCCCCTTACCCTAACCTAGACCATCACAGCGGCAGTAAATGCCTAACGACAAACCTTGATTTAACTCTAATCTAAACCTAATTCTAACCTTAACCCTAAAATCAAGTCTTAACTTTCAAATAGCCCTTTGACTGTGAGGTCTGACCAAAATGTCCTCACTCCCATGATACAACACTCAAAGCTATCTTCACACTGTTGGACATACAAGTACTCATACACACACACACGTTTCCATCACTTCTGGGGATATTACATTGACCTACATTCATTTCCTGAACACTTACCCTAACCTTAAACAAAGTCTTCATTCTAAAAGTGAGGATTTTCATTTTGGGGACTTGCTTTTTTCAAGATAAGGAGGTCAAATTCCCACAGTGTGACTGTGTAAACAGACTCATGTCTCCACAACATGAGTAATGCCAGGCTGCACACACACATCTTTTCTGCAGGTCCTTGGATGTCATTCAGTGACACTGCTCAGTTATATTACACAGTTTAAGAATGACAATGAATTTCTTACCTTGTTCTTAGTGGAGTCTGTTTTTTTATTGTAGTTACTGATGTCATGTGTCATTTCTCTACCGTCCTGTAGTCACGTATTTCCACTCTATCCCCAAAATATGTCATTCTGCCTCCAGGTACGTCTAAAGTAGTTGAGCAAAGTAGTCAATCACTGTAATGTTGTGTTTTCATTTATTTTTTTTTTAGCATTACCTCCAGTTTCACTAAACAGAAAAGTTTCATATTTGAATTGAGTTTTCCATAGTAGCATGTAGTTGCAGAGGCCCCTGGCAAGTTTGAATGGGCAGGATACTGTAGATACTGTACACAGTATGTGTAGTTGCATATTGCATGTACATACAGCTAAGCATGGTCAAATAGCCAACAACCTTCAGCGGCATCTTTTCTCTGTTTACAAACTTGCCGCAGCCCGTTTCAACCCAACTATAGGAAAAGATCCAAACTGGATTCACACACACAGTAAATGTAAAAACACTGTTATTTGGATCATGGAGAATGAATAGGATAAATGTGAGCAGTGGGGTAAAAAAAACACTTCTGTGTCCTTCTAAAATGTGCAGGTTTGATCAATTTTTGTTCATTGTTCATGCAAATTGTGAGTGTATATACAGTATAATATATTGCTGATACAGTCTGACCCCAGAGTGTGATTGAAACCGCAACAAAGCTTCCCTTCTGTCCTTATAATAACATCTTTACAGCAACCTCGTTTGATATATTTGTTGGTGAAAATTCTTCTTAAAGCATTTGACAGGATCTTGCTGAACCCTCACTCTCCACATATTCTTTGGCTTACACAGAGAGCGAGACAGCATCAGAGACCCACGGTGATTAATTTTAATTGTATTAGCACATCAATCATCATTTGTTTATTAGTTTTTCATGCTCTGGTGCCTCTTAGGTTTTATTAAAAATTTCTTAGAAAAAGTTCAGTCAGCTGAGATGTTTGATATTTACAGGTGGCAGCTAAGATTTGGGGGCAATTCATTAGCCAGCTCCGGGACTGATGTCAATGGGCTGAGTTTGGTGCTTTATCACATATGGAATGATTTTAGCTAAAAATATCTAAAAGATATATCACTTCCCTCAGTGAGTGAATAGGGAGAGGTGATATGAATCATACACATACACACACTAGTCTGAAGAACTACTGTGTATCGGCTGGCACTCGATGATGAGTCTCTCCCCTGCAAGGGCTGTGATTGTGGTCTGACAATGGATAAGATTGGACTTGTGTAGTGTGGCTTCTCCACTGGGTTTTCTGAGATGAGACCTGGTGCTGCCCTGCAGAATAATCAGTAAGAAAAAACTACATTGCCAAACTGTTCTAAGGAATAATTTACTAAGACAATTTTAAAAATTCTATTAAATTTGTAATGTTTTCAGTAGGGGTCAATGCCACAGGGTGTTAGGCAGTATTATAAGACTGACTAATGCATCATGTATAGTGGGGCAAATAAGTATTTGATACACTGCCAATTTTTCAAGTTGTCCCACTTACAAAGAATGGACGGATCTGTAATTTTCATCGTAGGTACACCTCAACTGTGAGAGACAGAATCTACAAAAAAAAAGTCCAGTAAATCACATTGTTAGATTTTTAAATCTGTGTACCATGTTTAATAGGTGGGTTAAAGAAGAGACAGAAGCTTTACAGAGCAGGGCAGGACTCTCCCCATGGGAGCCCAAATCTGCCCCAGGCCACTTATTAACATGCCTTCCACTACAACGCACATGTTCCTCCCTCACTGTGTGTGCCTGTCTTTCACTTTCTAATTTACACTCTTTGCATTTTGCCTATAGACCTTACACAGTGACCCTCATCTCCTGTCTATTTTTTGGTAATATCAGACTCCAACTTCTCCAATATGGGCATAACCAAAGAGCTGTCTAAGGACACTAGGGACAAAACTGTAGACCTGGGATGGGCTACAGGACAATAGGCAAACAGCTTGGTGAGAAGGCAACAACTGTTGGTGCAATTATTAGACAATGGAAGAAATTCAAGATGACTGTCAATCTCCCTCGGCCTGGGACTCCACGCAAGATCTCGCCTCATGGAGTATCAATGATCCTGAGAAAGGTGAGGTATCAGCCTAGAACTACAAAGCCGGAGTACCCGGAGAGAACCCACGCAAGCACGGAGAGAACATGCAAACTCCACACAGAAAGGGTCCCAGGTGGGGCCCGAACCCGGAACCTTTGGGCATAGAGGCAACGGCGCTAACCACTGCGCCACCGTGCTGCCCGATGCATGAACTAACACTTCATAAATGTATCACAGTGGTGAATAACCATTACTTAACCTTTATTAACCATTTGTTAATTTGTTATTGTAAAGTGGGAACCATATATGCATGAACTAACACTTCATAAATGTATCACAGTGGTGAATAACCATTACTTAACCTTTATTAACCATTTGTTAATGCTCTCTGTGACCCTGTAAAGTCTAAAACATGTATTTATTAAGGAACACTTCATAAGTGCATACAAGTACTAAAAAATAACCATAACTAATCAGGTACTACTGCTGTGTGTGACCCTTGAATATATGAAGCAATCACGCAGATACTGAACATTAGTGAAACATTTCCAAATGGAATTTAACTCGTCATAAGCATCTGTTATCAACATGATTCATTCCAAATTTAAAAAGATGAAGACTTCATGCAAAATCTGAAAAAGTGAATGCCCCCAACCACACAGCCGGGAAAACAAAGGAGTGGCTCCGTAAGAAGCATTTCAAGGTCCTGGAGTGGCCTAGCCAGTCTCTAGACCTGAACCCAATAGAAAATCTAAGGAGGGAGCTGAAACTACGTGTTGCCCAGCGACAGCCCCAAAACCTGAAAGATCTGAAGAAGACCTGTACGGAGGAGTGGACCAAAATCCCTGCTGCAGTGTGTGCAAACCTGGTCAAGAACTACAGGAAATGTCAGACCTCTGTAATTGTAACCAAAGGCTTAGGTACCAAATATTAAGTTCTATTTTTCTATTGTATCAAATACTTATTTCATGCAATAAAATGGAAATTA